AAAATGTCATCAAATGTATCCATCTTCTCATACATGCAATGAATTGAAGTTAGAGCTAAACACTGGGAGAACTACTTCACAGTAGGAACTTATATGTCCAATTCCAATGGAGGACTATTAGATATTAAGAGATCAACTACTCAGGACTGATAAAGATTACAGCTTTATGATAGCAAAACAAGATTTTACCACCGTTTCAACAACAATAAGGCACATAAGATTATGTAACATACCTCTGGTCAAAAGCACCTCAACGAGCTCAGCATTACCGATGCTAGCAGCGGAATGCAAAGGAGCCCATCCTTCATCATCCTTGCTATTGATTACAGTCTTTGCTTCATCTGAACTTGATAACAACTTCACTATCTGCAAATCCCACATCCATAAACATTTTTACACATACTGACACTGTTCCTAAAACACACTAATCTCAAGAACCCAAACGACGCAGATTCGTGTGGTTTTCAAAGCGAGACTCAAAAACTTCCCTTAAGGCTTTCTCATCAGTTAAACAACCTATTTACTGCAGCTATAGTAATCAAAGAGGTTATCTAACCACAGATTAGTTCTTAATATGATTGAAAAGAGAAAGGAACAAACTTGAGAATGGCCGAAGGAAGCAGCGACATGGAGGAGAGAGCGACCATCTTCGTTTCTGAAATTGAGAGATTTAGAGAGCTGTTCTTCAGATAATGACATGAACAACGATGAATCTCCCCATTCCGCTGCTTTGAACAACTCTTCGTCTCTCATCTGCTTTGCTGTATCGGTTGCAATTTCCATGATTGATCAAAGCTTCTTCTTCTTCCAAAGTTCGAATTCAGAAAATCCAGAGAAAGTGTACAAAAGATCAAAGACAAGAGACCCTAAATTAAAATTAAAACAATTTCTCCTAAAATAAGCAGAAAAAGATTAATCTCCCAACAAGAAAACAAAATGGATTCGCATATTGGGCCCGTTTATGGGCCTTTTACACAATCTCAGGACTTGCGTTTGGTTTATCTATCCGCTTTCAGTTCGTATTCATTCGGTTTTCAGTTTATTTTTCTAAAATTTAGTATTCATTCGCTTATTTTGAAATTTTGTTTCGGTATCGGTTTTGGTTCTTTTGATTTCAAAATTTAGTATTCATTCGGTTATTTTGCTTTGAATATATTCGGTTATTTTTGGATATTTTCGGACATTTTCGGTTATTTTTGAGTATTTTTACTACTTTATCTATATTCAGGTATTTTTAATTATTTATTTGATCCAAAAATAATTAATATTTTAGAAAATATAATTATACTAGATTTTAACCCGCGGTATACCGCGGGGACAATTTATTTTTTAAAGTTAGTATATATAAAAATTTGTAAATTGTATCTATCTATAAAATATTTTATTTTATAGTTTACAACTGTTATTAAGTAACGTTCTCCCAAACCCGTCTCGCAAAACCCGTTCTGCAAAAAAAACCATTTATTTTATTAATGTTGATCTTATTTATGAATCATTGTCTAAATATTTTAGTCGATGCGGGATGTTGAACCCACACATTTTTTCGCCAATTGGTTAATATATGTTCATTTTTAAAAATTTTAATCACAAAATATGACGGAAATTTTTTTGAGATTTTTTTAAACTATATATTATATAATGATGTTAAATTTTTTGATATATTAAACTTTTTATAAGTTTAAATATTAATAATGTTTTATAAAGTTTAAATATATAAATAATAATATTTTAAAAAAATATTTTTTGCTTTTTAGGTAATGACATAATAACTCTAAAAGCAAAGATTTAGAAGATTTAAATCGTTAATTAAATATTTTTCTTTCTAAATAATTAATTTCAGTAGCATGACATTGTAAATAAGTTCAAATACATGATTTATTTATTTAAACAAAAAACGTTTAGTAAGAATAATATTTATTTAAACAAAAAACTTTGTTTTAAAATATTGTTAACAAATACGTTTATGCTAATTTTAAGGAATTGATGTGAAGTTTGTTTGGATTAAATTTGATTGACAATTTAAATTAAGAATTTAAAGTAAAATTAATTATTTTGGAAAAAAAAATTAATGCTAATGGCATTGAGTTGTAAATAAGTCCAGCTCTAAGATTTATTTGTTAAAATGGCTGCAAAAATATATATATAAACTAGATTTTAACCCACGGTACACCGTGTAGACAATTCATTTTTTTAAATTAATATATATAAAATTTGTAAATTATTTTATAGTTTACAATTGTTACTAAGTAACGTCCTGCCAAACCCGTCCCGCCAAATCCATCCACAAAAAAAAATTATTTATTTTATTAATGTTGATTTTATTTATAATATGTTTATGAATCATTGTCAAAATATTTTATTCGTTGCGGGACGTTGAACCCACACATTTTTCGCCAATTAGTTAATATATGTTCATTCTTAAAATTTCGAATCACAAAATATGACGAATTTTTTTTTGAGATGTTTTAAACTCTATATATTATATAATGATGTTATTTTTTTTTGATATATTAAACTTTTTATAAATTTAAATATTAATAATGTTTTATGAATTTTAAATATATAAATAATAATAATTAAAAAATTAATATTTTTTGCCTTTTAGGTAATGATATAATAACTCTAAAAGCAAGAATTTAGAAGATTTAAATCTTTAATTAAATATTTTCATGCCTAAATAATTAATATCAGTAGCATGACATTGTAAATAAGTTCAAATACATGATTTGTTTATTTAAACAAAAAACGTTTAGTAAGAACAATATTTATTTAAACAAAAAACTTTGTTTTAAAATATTGTTAACAAAATACTTTTATGCTAATTTTAAGGGATTGATGTGAAGTTTGTTTGGATTAAATTTGATTGATAATGTGATTGACAATTTAAATTAAGAATTTAAAGTAAAATTAATTATTTTAAAAAAAGATTTAATGCTAATGGCATTGGGTTGTAAATAAGTCCAACTCCAAGATTTATTTGTTAAAATGGCTGCAAAAATGTATATATAGATTTCGGATATTTTTGATTATCCAAAATATTTTGGTTCCGTAGTAATTCAAGTTTCGATTCTTTTGGTTATAATGTTTAGTAATTATTTTTAAATATTTGTTTCGATTGACTTTATTTTGTTTTCCTATTTCAGTTCAATACATTAGGTTTAATTTATTTGCCAAAACCTAAAAATTCTCATTTTCTTGTGTTTTTCCTCCTTCTTCTCATGATAATAATTAGTTTATTTATTTTTAGACGGTCCATTTAAATTCGATATTAATTAGTATTACTTCCCATAACTTAAAGTTCGGTTCTAATTATACAAATATTTGATTAACGCAATCTCGAGTGGTCAACAACATGATACATGATCTTTAACATCATAATTTCCTCCATCATACACAAATGACAAATCCAACAGTTAATAATAATTCAGAAAAAACAACAGCTTACTAAAACAGTAATTATAGAAGATAATTACTAACATAATTATTTTTAGAAACTAAAACATTACTCACTTCATAAAACCTTGAGCCATCTTAGCATAATCTCCAAACCCATGACCACCTCCGGACTTCTCATCTTCTTTCTTAGCCGCCGGTGCTCCAGCTCCACCACCGTGTCCTCCAACATTACCGTGGCTTCCAGTTCCACCGGTGGAGGAGTGAGAGTGGGAAGTTTCGTACTTGTGAAGATATTGTTCAGCCTTTTCAAGGTACTGACCAACACCGCTCTTTTCATCGAGCTTACCGTATCTAGAAGCGGCGTCAAGGATATCAGCGGTGGCTCCGGCGACTTTAGCTTTGTCTAGCTTGTCTGACTCGTGACGGGCAGCGGCTTGAGCAGCTTCGGCTACGATCTTGGCACTAGCCATGAGCTCAGCGTTCGTAGCCGGTCTGTGTGTTGTTGGATCGGTGTTGGAGACCGGTTTATGTGTTGTTGGCTCGCCGTGACCGGGTTTATGTGTTGTTGGCTCGGTGTGACCGGGTTTGTTTTTGTTGTGGTTTGGATCCGGATCAGAGCTCTCCGGTTTCTTGTCGGAGAATTTCTTCTTTACTTGATCGGTGAAGAAATCCATGTTTCTTTGTTTCAAAGGAAAAAGTTTTTTCTTGTTCTTGAATTTGGTAAACGTACAATAACAACTTATCCGGAGGATGATATTTATTGAATTTCTTGAAATTAGGTTTTTGTTCTTTTTCTTTGTCCACTAGTTTTTGGTCTTCTTTTTCTTTATCCACTAGTTAATGGGATATTTATAGTCACGATTCTTACGCCTTAGATCTACTTTTCGACTTTAGTGAGTGAATTTTATTCTCTTCCTACGTAAAAAAGATGCTTGATTACATTTGACCATTTCGCAAAAGTCGACCCTCATAACCGGTCTTGATAAATTCTTTCTTATTATCTTTGATTCTTGATCATAGAGTTACTTTTATTGGTGGATAGGTACTTTTAGTTTTGTGTATTTGTTTACCTATGTAAATGCTAGTATAATCTTGGATTCTTCATCATAAATGTAGAGTTTATACTTTATAGAGAAGTAATATTTGGTGTATTTTACTACACTTAAATTTTTTAGTATTGGTTGAGGTTTTGATGAGTGGCACGGAAAAATGGGTCCTTATGCCACGTTCGTCCGACTATCCAACTCTTTGACCATTTATGATTTTGTCGGCAGAGTAATTAAACTATTTGAATAGAGTTTAGAAGAGAGCTCATATGGGCTCATCAATAGCCCATTAATAGATATACATTCTGAGCCCAACTTTGTTTGATTCATTCCATTGAACGTTGTCGTATGTGAAGAAAAGGATGTGGTCATTTTCATCACATTTACTAATTTTTTGTCAACACAATGACCACATTATGACAGAACAGAAGTGAACAAAAATCTAAGTAAGACCAAGAAGAGTAAACTGTATTTATATATGTAGAAACTTGTGTAGTATAGTATATATAAGAAGCAGTGAAAGCAAAGTATGGAGAAGAAGAGAAGAACAACAGGAGGTGAAATTTCAAAGGAGTGGCATGTGAACACATATCCTATGGTTTCTTCAAATTTCCATTGAAACCATTGAGTTTTGTGTTCTCAGGTCACCCCTTTGAATCTCCCCTGTTCCATTTTTTCACCTTACTAATTTTTTTTATTCATACTCTAAATTTGTGAGCTTTTGTGCTTTCTTTTTTTTTGGTCATAAGTGAGATTTTATGCTTTTTTGATTACACATTTATTATAATGGAACCTCTATTTTGTATCTGAAACAGAGACAAAGCATTAACCATATCCTACATATATACCTTAACAAATTAATGACAACTCTGGTTTCCAAAACAATAAATTATGTATGATTTGACAATTAAACTGGTTGATAAAATGTAAATTTGGAATAAATAATTAGTTCCATAATATATGTTTTTTATATCTAAAATAGCATAGTCTTTTGAAGGTGAAAAGTCATAAATCAGGTTTGGTTTCAAACAATGACTTCATAATCACTCAAAAAACTCTTCTTAATTATCACCAAAACCCCAAAACCAACTAAAACTGAAAAAACAAACGTTGACTTTTTGACTAACCACCATCCTCCGCCGTAAATCATGATCGCCGCCGTTTACACTCTCTTCTTCTTCTTCCTCTTAATCTCCTCTGTTTATTCCAAAGCCACGATTTCAATCTCTCCCCAAACCTTAAACCGATCCGGCGACATAGTCGTGATCAAATGGTCCGGCGTCGAATCACCGTCCGATCTCGACTGGTTAGGAATCTACTCGCCACCGGACTCTCCTCACGATCATTTCATCGGCTATAAATTCCTCTCCGATTCACCCACGTGGCAATCCGGGTCGGGTTCGATTTCACTTCCCTTAACCAATCTCCGATCAAATTACACTTTCCGGATCTTTCATTGGACCCAATCCGAAATAAACCCGAAACACCAAGACCATGATCACAATCCTTTACCCGGAACTCGTCATCTCTTAACCGAATCAAACCAGTTAAATTTCCGGTTCGCTGTTAACCGACCGGAGCAGATTCATTTAAGTTACACAGATAACATCAACGAGATGAGAGTAGTGTTTGTAACCGGAGATGGAGAAGAACGAGAAGCTCGCTACGGTGAGGTTAAGGACAAGCTCGATAACATAGCGGTGGCGCGTGGAGTTAGGTACGAGATAGAACATATGTGTCACGCGCCGGCGAATTCTACAGTCGGATGGAGAGATCCAGGTTGGACATTCGATGCCGTGATGAAGAATCTAAAACAAGGGATTAGGTATTATTATCAGGTAAGTAGAATAAAAAAACCTTAAAGTTTGAATTTTTAGGGGTTTTGAGAATCAAAATGTTGACTTTTTTTTTGTTATTGATTAGGTTGGGAGTGATTTAAAAGGATGGAGTGAGATTCATAGCTTTGTTTCTCGAAATGAGGGTTCAGAAGAAACATTAGCTTTCATGTTTGGTGATATGGGATGTTATACACCTTATACAACATTTATCCGTGGAGAAGAAGAAAGTTTATCAACTGTGAAATGGATTTTAAGAGACATTGAAGCTTTAGGTGATGATAAGCCTGTGATTGTATCACATATCGGAGATATAAGTTATGCACGAGGTTACTCGTGGATTTGGGATGAGTTCTTTACTCAGATTGAGCCTATTGCTTCTAAAGTGCCTTACCATGTATGTATTGGTAACCATGAGTATGATTGGCCTAACCAGCCTTGGAAACCAGATTGGGCTGCTTATGTTTATGGTAAAGATAGTGGTGGTGAATGTGGTGTACCGTATAGTGTTAAGTTCAACATGCCTGGTAATTCAACGGAAGCTACTGGTATGGTTAAGGGACCTCAAAGTCGGAACCTTTACTATTCTTATGATATGGGTTCTGTTCATTTCGTTTATATTTCGACAGAGACTGATTTTCTTAAAGGTGGGAAGCAGTATAGTTTTTTGAAGAGTGATTTGGAGTCTGTTAATAGGAGTAAGACACCGTTTGTTGTTGTCCAAGGGCATAGACCTATGTACACTACGAGTAGGAAGATCAGAGACGCTGCTATAAGAGAGAAGATGATCGAGCATTTGGAACCGTTGTTAGTGAAGAACAATGTGACGGTTGCTTTATGGGGACATGTACATAGATATGAAAGGTTTTGTGCGATTAGTAACAATACTTGTGGTGAACGTTGGCAAGGAAATCCAGTTCATCTTGTGATTGGTATGGCTGGAAAAGACTCACAACCGATGTGGGAACCGAGAGCTAATCACGAGGATGTCCCGATCTTTCCTCAGCCTGCTAACTCAATGTACCGTGGAGGCGAGTTTGGGTACATTCGTTTGGTTGCTAATAAGGAAAGACTTACTCTTTCTTATGTGGGAAACCATGACGGAGAAGTTCATGATGTTGTTGAGATTTTGGCTTCTGGGGAAGTTATTAGCGGTAGTGATGATGGTACTAAAGACTCAAACTTTGGATCAGAATCTGACTTTGCAGTCTTGTGGTACATTGAAGGAGCAAGTGTGATGGTTGTGGGAGTGATTTTTGGGTACTTTGTCGGTTTTCTTAGTCGTAAAAAGAAAGAATCTGGAGTTGGATCATCTAATCGTAGTTGGATCCAAGTGAAAAACGAGGAGACATGATTCAACTGATTTGTTTTTGTTTGTTTGTTTGTTTGCCACACAGATTTGTATATCAAATTATTAGAAGTGAAACAAGAGACAAGACTCATTCATCAGAAGTTACATTCACCAAAAGAACACACAAGTATTCCAAAAGAAAACACATTCAAGTTTCATCAAAGAGTAACATCAAGAACCTTCTCCAAAACAACATATCCTACAGGTTCGGTAAGCACATCACCAAACCACTCAACAATCCCCCAAATTTCACAACTTTTGCGCCTTTCAAGCGCAATCTCTGCACACCGAATCATCTTCTTATAGCCGCTATCAGGTCCACGAGAAGGCAACTCCTCCTCCCACAAAACCGTTAATTTTCCTCCATAATCAGCCAACTTAACATTGGCACCAGAACCGAACATAGGTAGTCCTACCAAACCCTTCAAATCTCTCCACATCATTGCGTTAGTGTCATACCATCTGAACACTCCATGAGTACAAGAGTACAAAACATTCTGTATCTCGCAAGAAGCTGAAAACTTATAATGATCCATTTGTTGGCCAACCATGTCCCATCTACCTTCCTTGGAATTGTAAGCAACCGCCTCTCTTTTTTGACCTACAGGCACCACATGGAACTCTCCGTCAATGCATGCGGTTCCGCATCCGTAAAAATCGCCTTCCGTCTTGCTGCAAGTAATGGTATCAGGATCCCAAAATTGTGTTTCAGTGTCAAACACCTCGAACGAATTCTTATAGGTGTAAGAATCACCATCCAAGCAACTTCCTGCTACGTATATCTTTCGATCAAGGACACTAGAAGAAACAGAACATAGCCCCTCACGCAAGCTTGGAGCCTCGCGCCACGTGTGAGACCGACAATCAAGAATGGAGACGCTTGAAGAGGACTCTAGGTAGCTGGATCCTGCAATGTTATAGATATTAGAACCAACAGCTACGAGACTAGAAGAGTGCAAAGGAGGAGAATGTAAATTTGAGACTCTAGCCAAAACATACCCGCTTGACTTCTTGATGGTGCCATTGGTTAGGGTTTGATCAGGTTTCCGACAGAGGGTGAACCAGGTAGTGTTCGTATGACGATCTTGGAACCGTGAACACACATAAAGACAACTCTCGGTGTTGCCTAAGAGTGACCGGACCTTGTATAGCTCTGGTGAAGCTAAGAGACATCTAAAGCTCTTGGAGACGAGATTTAGATTCGGATAGTACAATCTTGAGACGCGTGCAAAGATGCTCACTAGCACATCATCGGGAAGAAGGCTAAGTTATCTATCTGAAAGTTCGTGGAATTTATTAAAACGCGTGCAAAGATCCTAAAGTTGTCCACAATTATAAGCGAAATATTAGAACTGGTTCATGTTTATAACTTCTCTATCTTCTGCTGCAAATTTCTTGGCTGGTTTAGTTTGGTGTCGTCATAACTTAAAGGAAAGAACAAAAAAGCAGAGACTTATTAATTGATAAAATTCTCAAGAGTGTCATTAATTTTCAGTGGAGCTGATACATGTATTTGAAAATACTTTCACAAGCTCCTTCATTTATCCTTGGACTTTGAAAGCTACTCTTTCACACCTTTTTTCTTTTGGTGAGGACTCTTTCACACATTTTGCCTATTCATGTAAAACATATCCATTAATTTGGTAAATTGCATCAACATGATTCACCTGTTTGCTCTTTTGTGTGGAAGTGAACCTGGTTCAAAGAGAGCTTCTCAATTGCTAATATATATTTTTGAACAATTTTGTTGTCACAATTCTTTCATTTGTCATCTTCAAAATATGCAAAACATATCTAGAGAAGATTTTCACTGTTAAGACATTTGAAGCTGCAAACAAAAATTTGGATAACTTAGCATTTTTTTTTCTTTTCTTTTTATACCATAATAATGTACATTGAGATCTTGAGGACTAAAACAACTAGAGAAAAAAAGGTTCATGGATTTGAATAGCATTTTTTACAGAGTCAAATCAATCAGGAAGTCCTTTCTTCTTCAACCTTAACCAACACAAAACTCCTAAAGATGAAACTTTCAAACTTCTGCATCTTTATCTAATTCACTTAAGAAAAAAAAAATCTGCAGAATCCATGAAAGAGGAGAAGAAAACTTTTTATTTACTTCTCCTTCAAGTTATTATCATCTTTATCTTCCCAATCGTCTTGACCAAATATCTCCTCAATAATGTTTGAAGTTGGTAGTAGATCGTTGTTCTTGTTCCAACAATCTGATGTGAATCTCTGATCATCAAATGAATTTGAATCTTCACCAGATCTGTGGCACTCTCTGTTTTTGATTGGGTTGTGACTGAAGATCAAGTTGGAGTCTTGTAACTCGAAGGACATACATGAGTCGTCTTCCACATTTACTTCTTCACCAAAACCGTCTCTTGAAGCCTTATCCGTATCTACACAATGAGCATCGTTACTTGATGAGTCGTCTTCCTCTTCTTCTTCTTCATCATCATCATTGCTGCTGG